CAAACTTTGAACCCTATGACTTTTGATGCGATGCGGTTTATTTTTGGATGGTTACTGACGAGCACATCAAGTCACAAAAGGACCGTTGAAAGTGTCCGAGTCTACTGCGAAAACTGGGGAGCGCCTTCCAGCGGGCTCCTTTCTTGTTTCGAGCAATGTGAAACTTCACCCCGACTCGTGCGACGCACGTTTCGGTCACTGGCGACCGTGCGGACTCACCCAACTTGGCAAACTCCTGGTTGGCAACCTGCAGCCAGGTGACGTCTTCCTCGTTGAGGTCGTAGCGACACGTGCCCTCGGCCAGGGTGCGGATGTCCACGTAGCCCAAGGCCTGGGCGGCCGACGTGCGGATCAGCTTCTTGGGCCGGACGAACGTGACCTCCTTGCCGCCGTCGGCCAGCGGGCGGGCCGCCGGCTGCGGGATGGACTGCGGGCTGACGGGCACCTGGACGCCCTTCTCCCACTCCTGCCGCCACGGGTCGGCCAGGACGTAGAAATCCTCCGGGTTGAGCTGGTACGAGTCGTGCACCTTCATGGCCGTGATCAGATCCGTCCTGAAGACCTGAAGCAGGCGGAAAGCATGTCAAATCGATGCTCCCCCCTCTGCTCCCTTCTCTCTCTTTTTACATATATTGTGTTGGAATTGACAGTACAACGGACGAATTTAATTCTATCATTTCCCCCCCCCACTGATTTTTTTTCTTCAATTTCACATTTTTATTTAAATAAAAGCGCAAAAGTATCTTCCTGTAATTATTTGTTAGTATTCGTTTCTTTTGAAAATAAATTTGACAGGCAGGAACATGGAAAACAAATGATTTTCATTATTCTTTTTAATTAAAAAAAAAAATTAAACGTGTATATTTTGTATAAGTTTTGCTTTCCATTTTACGTCATTTTTCATTTTGGTTCCTCATAATAGGAAACCGTCTCAGGAAAAATGAGCACATGAAGAGTACTCTTTTATGAAGAGTATTCTTTTTTTAGGATTTAGCGCCTTGCAGCTCCGGAACATGAACATTTGCCGGTAAAAAGCCAACCAAGACCGCGGGGCTTGGGTCACTTATCTCCGCAGTCTCCAGGTCAATAACAGCCAAATGTGAACGTCTCTTCATTTATGACAGCCGCGTTGATTGTGTCAACAGTGACGTACCTCGGAAGGTTTCTGCCTGCTTCCTCTTCTGGCCTGAGACGAATGCTGCGACCAGCAGGTGGAATTGCCTGGACAGGAAATTATTTGGAGTCAATCATTTCAACTTTATAGGAGGGGTGTGAACTCCTCCGCAATGGATGTTTGGGTTCAGCATCGACAATGAGTCATCCCTCCGCCCATCTCGAAAAAAAAAACAAAAAAAAAAACAACTTTTTTTTACACTTACTGGCATCATCTGAGTCGTCGCTGCTGCTGGGGTGTCGACTTCTCTTCATGGTGGCGCGTCAGAGGAGCACCAGCTTCACACTGAAGACAAAGGAGAGCATCGTCAGCTTGAAAGGACCACCGGTTCAAATTCATATTCATTCTATTGTGTTTCGTGAGGCTTGCTTGTGATTTTGTCTCAATTTGAAAATATGAACTTCTTTAAAGCAAGTGAAGCATTTTTCGCCAACCTCGAAATCATCATGGCAACATTTTCAACACTTTCAAACCCCTTTATGAAAGTGACGTACTCCAGAGTATCACGCAAATATTTTTTTCAAATATTTACATATATTGTAAAAAAATTATCCTGGTTCTCAGTAGTGTGTATAATTGTTATTGTAATGTTGCTTTAGTACGATGTTAGCATGCAAACTTCTGACTCCGGGTAAGGTTTAAATTTGGACCAAAAAAAAAAAAATTATTTTGACCCAAATTTAAGCACTTTTCAAACGTCAGATGATTATTGTAGCCTTCTAATTCTTTGTCCACACCTGGAAGCTGAATAGCGCCACACGATATCACACTTACAAATATTTTGTGAGGCTACCACTCATGATTTTACAAATCGAATAATCTGTCAACAACTTTTTTTTTGGTGCCCTGAAGAGACAGCAAAGCAGATTATTTACCAGGCCTCGCGATTTCCTCGGCGTACACATGCGCGGACTGTGTCGTTGGGGGTGACATAGTTCAAGCTCAGCTGCAGCTGTGCCGTTAGCTGGTAAACAAACGCGTCCCCCTGAGGCTGTGAGCGAAGGAATCGCTCGCTGTGTACAAGACGACATTTTGCCTCGCATCACACACACGACGAAAAAAAATGATAATACGATTACAAATGATCAACGTGAGCCTCGCGATGCCACATCTATCCAACTAACTTTCAGGGAAATGACGTTCCCGGTAACGACAACAAACTACAGCCAATGCGGAGCAATCGCGGGGCGAGGTTAACAACGCTGAAATCGTAAACGGCAACATTAAGCAAGTTTCAAGATATAACGCGTGGTAATAACTTGTCGAATTATGTAAGGTAAAAAAAAAAAACTCAGCTAGGTGGCTAAGCTAAGGGTGGGCTCACGACATGTCGTGTGATGCCGTAACTTTGTTGCAGACCAAGTGCAAAAAAATAGCAGTTTAGTTTTAAAATTCCCCGTGTACGATAACTTTTTGGGGGCTTTAGTCGTTCAGGAAAAAAAGGCTGCTTTGACAAGCTAGGGCGTTGAGCTGTTACGATTAGCCTTAACGCTAACAGCGTCGTTCCAAAACATGAGGGCCCACCCACCAACCGGCGCCTCGAGTGGAATATTCTGGATGGTTTTTCCTCCAGTTTTGCACCCCTTTCACGATATTTAATCAGCAACGCTGAGCGTTGAGTAGACATTTTCGCTCTAAAACCAATCCGCCTCACGAGAAATTCTTTTGGAAGAGGGCCGCGGTTGTCGACGTTATGAAGTCGTCGCAGCCCGTGCTAACCCTGAGGCAGGTTGCTACGTTTGTTACCGTGGAGCGCCGTTAGCACCATTGAGCTAATGTTGCTATTTCGGCACCTCCTTATACGAATATGTTTCATTTTCTTTTCTGTCAAAATGCGCCTAGACCGCCTCGGATTCGTCAGTAGGTATCCGCTAAGAACGCTAAAATGGAAGTTGTGGCGAACGTGCGGCCAACGGGTAGTGAATGTTAACCAGCTGGGCACAATGTGGCGCACACGCACCAAAGCGAGCCACTGGTCGAGGTTAATCTTTGGCGCCATTTTAAAATGACGACGTCGCGTTCTCCCAATGGAAGTGGCCTCCGCCTCGCCTCAAAAAAAGTCTCTCGCCGCCCGCGCGCGGCCAAGTGTAGCCCAATCGTGTGGACGGTACATACGGTGCACGCCGGGACTCTGCAAGCCGCCGTTTTTCTTGGAGGTGAGGCGCAGTTCGGGCTCGGAGTTCCGCTTGACCCGCATTCCACATACACAAACAGCGAGATAAGGCGAGAGAGGGGAGGGAAGGCAAGGCAAGGTGGGGGCCATCGGGGGGCGGGACCCGGCCGGGAGGATGCAACCCTGCTCGGCTGCACTTATGAGGTTTGGCCGCTGGAGGAGAGCAACGCCCGTGCCGTTGAGTTGATAAATCATCCCTACACAAATAATTAATACCCACGGTTTGAGTGAAAACGTTCACGTAAACGCTGCGCTTGTTACAAAATGTCATTATTACAGTATTTGCTTTTTGTCGCATCACGCAACAATCTGTCAATCACTCACGTTGAGGGCAAGGTTACGTCATATTGTCTCTTAAAAGCACAGCGCAACAAATATATATTTTTTATTTTGTATTGTTTTTAACCACCTAACAAACATCACTACAACGTATACTGTAATGTATTTCTCGTTCGACGCAGCAAACAAGAACTTGTTTGCAAATTGGGAAAAACATGACGTCACGGCATTTTATTCTGAGCTTCGTCTCTTAAAGGCACAGAACACCAATTATTTATCCCTCGCTTTTTGTCTCTTTCGTCTTTGTATTTTTCAATCTTTGTCCACTTATCACTTGTTGTTAGCGCCCAAACCTACACCACTGCATTCCATATCGCACAAAAAAGTTGAATTACTGCTTTTATTGTCCAATAAGAGCGCTGAGCTTTGTCTCGGAAATAAAGAGTGCACCTGTTTTACAGTATCTTGATATTTTAGTATTTCTAATCTTCCACTATTTCAACTATGGTAACGAGATCAATCAATGTTTAACATTTCATTACTTGGAATTGTGAAGAATTGCTCCTTGAAATGAGCACGTTGGCAAAATAAAGACGTGACGGTATCGTCATGGTCTGTCACTTTATTTCTTTTCCGGTCAATGGAGGCCATACAATAATGGTAGCAAATTGCTTTATTATGACTTCTCAACGAATAAAGTAAAATAATAACAAGAACAACATAACGTGGTGTAAAAATGCACATTTTTACCAAAAGTTGGGGGGAAATCTAGAACGGTACTTTACGACACAGTACCTCAAAGAGCTCAGTCCCACTCACCGTCAACTATAATCTCTACAAATTAAGAAAATATCAAAAAGCGTATTACCCAAAAGTGAAGGGGGATGGGGAGAAGCATATTCTAAGGGTCTGTGTTCCGCAAGTTAATAATAGGGGAAAACAGCACAGCACTGTGGTAATACAGTAAGCTATACTACAACGTACTGCACTTCACTGGGCTCAGATGCGCTCACAAAAAAAAAAAAAAGTCCGATTCACCGTAAATATCTGAACATGAATCAGCAGGTTTTTTCGTTGACCTTTTGTACGTGCAATTCATCGCTGGGGCACTCATGCAAAAGGTATTTTATGCAACATACCAGTAATTCATCATAGCCAAATAATAAAATATTTTAATGACATTTTTAGATCATTGCATGCCATGATGTAACTTGGTGTATAATCTGCATTTATTCTAGGGAACAGCTAAATCCCGAATGGTGCTCCTTCAACCAAGTCTCCTGCGTTCTTATCTGAGAGCCAAGATGGCGTCGTAGTATTTCCCCGTGCGACACAGCTGCACGTCGCGGAAGCCGCTCTCTTGGAGCATCCTGGTGTACTTGGAAGGCGTACACGTCATGAGAATTGTGACACGATACGACGTGATAGGCTTCAATCTGATCAGGACTCACCTGGTTTGCAGACGTCGCAGATCCGCTTAAGAAGCGTCAGACTTTTTTCCTCCGGCCAGTCATGGAGGATGCGAGCCAGGATGTATAGGTCGGCAGGAGGCAGTTCTCCGTGGAAAAAATCTCCTGTCGGGGCAAGAAGTAGAAATAATGCATTTTATAATTCATACGGAGTGGAAATATGATGTGTAAAATAAATGCATCACACGGTCAGGAGCATTCATCCAGTTTGGTGAACACTGCAGTATCGCAAAAATCCAGAAGGGGGTGCTGTTTTGCTGTCAGGAGACTGATTGATAATGTTTAAAACTGTAGGTGGCAGCATACTTGGTGCTGGAACGGAAAAAAAGGGATTGACTACCGCTCTGGAACTTCAAGGTGTTGTTTTCCTGTAGGAAGTGCTTGGCGGCCATTTCCACAACTGCGGGCATGTCAAACACGGTGACGGAGGATGAGGGGTAGGCCTTAACCATCTCACGGGCCAGCGCACCGGTGCAGCCTGCGAGTTCAAGACGGGCAAGGCAACGAGTTAGCCGCAATGTCACAGATCTGAAAATGATATGGGTTTTTAACGATACCCTTCAAAAATCACATCCATGGATGCCTTGTGAGTCTTGCGTTATTGGCTGTCTGCATGTTTTGCTCCACTGTTTGTGTTCAAATAGCTGTTGCTTAAAGGGTTAGCTTGTCAATGACGCGATTCATGACTTGTTAGCACTAAGTTAGCAAAAGTGTTCTTCAGATAAAGTTGTTTCTTCAAACGGCGTAAGTAATTCTCTTTTGTATTATGTTTGTTTTGAGAGTAAAGTTGGCAGTTAATTCTTGCATGCTACACTTGTTGTGTTGATAGCGCCCTCCCCCAGTGGCAAACTTCTTCCTACCTCCGAGGTCAACGACGTTCTGGAAGCCGGCGAGGTTGAACGCCGTCACCACATCGTGTCCGTCCAGCACCCAGAAGGAGTTCATCAGACCCATAAACTTCAGCATCTTCTCCTCGGTCCTTCCCCAAAAGTGGGAATTTTGTGTCAAAACTGAACAATTCTCAACGTTCTCCTGCAGAGACCCACCTGTAGATGGCTTGGAAGACCTCCTCGGGCGGGATCCCAAACGTCTTCTGGTTCTGGTTCCTGCCATCCCTGTGAAGAGAAGCAGGATGCATGAAGCAATAAAAATACAAATCCTTTTAACGCGTCACCCTTCACACAGACCTGACGACATCCGCCAAGTTGTTCCACAGTGGGTAGGTGGTCTGCGACTGGTAGATCGCAAGGTCGTGCAGCGACTTGGCACCACCTTTGGCCAAGTACACGCTGGCCACTTCGGTGTTCCTGTAAAGAGCTCGGGTGGGAGAAAGGACAGAAAAGAAAATATCAGGTCGCTAAGATCACTTTATCGAGTGAAAGAGCAGGTCTTGGAGAAAGCTGGTTGCTGTGGTGGTGGAAGGTCGTAGGGGCGGTTCGTGTTGGTGGTCACCGGTTCCGTCCTGCGGTTGCGTCTCCACATGGAGGATCTCGATGCCCACCAGGGCGTCCAGCAGTCGCTCCGTTCCGTCCACGCTGGCTCGCAAGGCCTGCGCCACCTGCTGGGCGCTCAGGGCACACGGCGACGTCGCCAGGAGGTCGAAGACGCCCAGCTCGCAGGCGGAGAAGATCACCTGAACAAACAAACGCGCGATTCCCCAAACAGGAGAGCAGAGCGAGCGTGAGCGTGTTAGCATCTTAGCCGTTGTCGTTCTAAAGAGTGGCCGACGTTGTCAAACTTGAGCCTTGAGCCATTTGGGAGCCTTTCCTACTCGGGGTTGCCAAGCTTAAATGTCAAATATTGACTCAAAACCCAGAGCCAGCTGTTTTATTTGCGTTAAACTTGCATGGAAGGCTAAGAGCAACCAATTTATTGCAGTGTGCTCTGTGTAGAACGCTCATAAACACTTTTAACTCAAACAAAAACTTTAAGGCAGTGGTGCCTACTGGTCCGCGGGTAATTTGGTACCTGGCCACGCAGAGAGAAAAAAATCACTTTTATTCCTTCCGTTTTATTTATTTCGGAATCTGAAAGATGTTTTATTTTGAAAAGTTATCGGATTCTCTGTTACATTCGTCGACAGCAGTGGTTCTTAACCTTAGTGGAGGTACTGAAGCCAATCAGTTCAAATGCATTCACCAAACCCTTCATTAGTGAAAAATAAAAATATGTTTTTTTTTTTTTTTACAAATTGAAGACATTCAACTAGAACAATTTGCTCCAAGAAACACAGCATTAAAATACTTGACTTACCTTTGACACCCTGAAGCCGTTCAAGTACTCGAGTAGTTTAAACGGATAGTCCATCTCACTCTGCGAAAGATGCTCGGACATGGCTGCGCTTCACAAAAAAAAAGGACAAAAAGATGAAGGGGGTCAATCACAAAATCTTCCCAAGCTAAAATGTGCTTCGGGCTCGGTGAAGGCGTCCCGAACCAGTCAGATGATGGTCGCTCAAAGGGCACCAAGGAGAAGGAGGAGCGGCTGGCTGGCTTGCTGTGGCATTCAGTTTCACGAATGGCCTTTATAAGCGCGCCTTCCGCCGTCCTTCCCATTTAAATGACATTTAGATTACGAAGAAGCGCGTGAATTCCAACGCAGCCATCATCCGAGCCGCGTCTGTTACAGGGGGTGATGCAGCACCACCATGTGGAGGTTGATTGTCACTGCACTTTGTCCTCTTGACGTCCCCCCACGTTCCAACTCCTGTAATAATAAGAATAATAAATACCTCTAATAGAGACCAGTAGACATGGGTGCTATCGTTTGATATTTTTTTCTTTACAAAGCAGAACATGACGATGTTGCTGCCTGCTACTGGCATTCCGCACAGAAAAGACAGGGAAAAACAAAACGTCTGACATTATTAACGTCTCACTCGGCTCGTTGTCTCTCAGAGATGTGGGGCAGCGAGGACTTCCCAGCATGCCTCGCGCTCTCATCTTTTGGCCCACAAAGTGCCTTCCCTCAGGCTGACGTACGGCCAAAGCGAAAGGCTTCTCTTGCTGAATTGTGTCCTGAACCAGAAATGTAAAATGCCATGATGAATGAGTATAAAATAAAATTTAGGACTGGGTTTTCCTGCAGCAAAAAGAGAGGGACAAACAAAACTGACACACACAGACAGAAAGACTAAAAGACAGGAAGAGATTAGAGCGACTAGTCAGGAAGGCTGGTTCTGTCCTGGGCTGCTCCCTTGACACTCTGGAGGAGGTGGGCAACAGCAGGATGCTAGCTAAGCTAAAAGCTAGGTTGGACAGTCCCTCCCACCCCCTCCAGCCCGCCCTGACAGCACTCGGTAGCTCCTTCAGTCGGAGACTGTTACACCCGCGTTGCAAGACGGAGAGATACCGCCGCTCGTTCCAACCGACTGCTGTCAGGCTGCTGAATAAAAAACGAATAAATAAATAAATCATAAAATTATTTAAATGATATGACAACAAATGTGAATGTGAAATAAAGGATATCTTATCTTATCTTATATGTCTCCTATATTACCGGCATCCCATTTCCCATCCCACTTTCCAAACAACTTTGACAATCTTCGGAACCTGAACGCGCACCTCTGACCTTGCTAATCCTGCGCATGGGCCTTTTCCTGCCAAGGCGGCGGACTTTCAGGAAAGCTCGCACTCACTTACGGACAAGGTAAAACAAACTTGAAAACACCTCGGCCGGGCTTCAATTCCCACTCGGAGGCGAAATGATTTCCAGGAATTCTTTGTGACACTTTTGGATGCCAGTGAGTCACGTTCCAAGCGGAGACCTCCGGGCTAAGAGTGTTCCGTGGTTTAAAAAAAAAAAAAACTTGGCTTCATGAACTCTTTCGGAACCCGCTCTGTGTATTTCACAATGCCAGTCTTCAAAGTTACAGGGAGCCGTTTCGGGAAGGTTTCTTCATCAGTAAAATCCCCAGGGAAGGAATAAAAGACAAATCCCCACATGTGGCAAGGACGAAACAATCACCAAACTCCTTTAAAAGCTCCAAAGTTTCACTGATAAAACGAAAACTCTAGAAAACAACCCAAATTGTGCAAGTCAAAATAAGAATCCTGTCAAAGCACCCAAAGTTGACCTAAACAAAAAACTGTAAACCCGTAACGGTGCGCATGTTAAAATTAAAATACAATCAATCCTCTAAAGTTTAGTGGTCGGCAACCCAAAATGTTGAAAGAGCCATATTGGACCCCCCCAAAAAAAACACAAAAAACAACTATGTCTGGAGCTGCAAAAAATCAAAAGCCTTATATAAGCCTTACAATGAAGGCAACACATGGAGTATGTATCTATATGAGTTATATTAAGAATAAGAAAACCTTTATTCGTCTCACAATGGAGAAATTCCCAATTTACAGCAACAAATTTATGAAAGCAAGAAAGTAGAAGAACAAAATGTTTCGGAGCTGCTGTAAAGGCAGCCACTCTCGCAGCGCCATCTTGAAGTCAAACATTTTTGAAAAAGCTCCAGGGAGCCACTAGGGCGGCGCTAAAGAGGCGCCTGCGGTTCCAGAGCCACGGGTTGCCGAACATTGGGCCGATAAAAATAAAAACCTGAAAAAAGACCCAAAGTTGTTCAGATTAGAATCTAACAACCGTAAAAAACCTCTAAAAGTTGCAGAAGTTAGAATAAAGCTTCAGTGAAGAACCAAATAGTTGAGCTTTTTAAAATTTTATGAGGAAAAATCCCAAATGTAGTTCAGGAAAAAAAATGTCCAGACGATTAAACCCTCCAAAATAAGATCTAATTGCTCTAAACCCCTTGAAGTTGAGCTACTGGAAATCCACCTGAGGTTGTGCAAGAGAAAATAAAGGTAACGCTAAAAAAACACAAAAATGCAAAACTCTGACCATCTCCTTTATTAAACAAAATGTACATGTTCAACCTATACAAAAATAAGATGGCCCGAATGCTCAACAAATCATAAAACACACACACACACACACACACACACACACACACACACACACACACACACACACACACACACACACACAGAATAACGGGTACCACATTGCGCTTGGAGCGTGGAGGATCACTATTTGGCACCATCGCTATTTGACCAGGACAAATGAGAAAAAAGGTCGCGATCGTCCACAGTCCTTGGGAATTTCCGCCAGGACGGCCTGTATATTCATCCTATCCTCCTTGGTGAGGCTGCACTTCAGTTTGAGCAAAGACATCACATGCTTCTCGCTGAAGGAAGCAAAGGAAGGAAGGAGGCAGGAAAAGTTAGTGGGCATGGCACGGATCCCATTTTAGTGCCTGTGTTGAGCACCTCTGAAAACTGTTCTGGAATAAACAAGAGAGCTACTTCTGACGACGCGAAGATCGGCTAACTTTCAGATGACCTCCTTCAATGCAGTTCCAATTTTTCCCCACGGGAAATACACTTGACAGAAATATCAACACAACAATTTTATTGTTGCTTCCATTTTCGATCTATGACTTTTTTCGTACACAAAGATCAGATATAAGTCAAGCCGGGTTTTGTTTTTTTCCATCTTGATTTTATTTGACCTGATTTATTCGTCTTTTTTTTTTTTCCACTCAATACTGAAACCTAATTTTTTTTTTTTTTTTTTTATTGATCAGATAGATTCACATTAAAGTCTAAGACGGATTGTTTCTGGGGGTAAATTGGTGCTAACATGCTAACAAGGCATTTTTCCAGGACCAGTATTTTTTGGAATTCAATCTCTCATGGGGTAATGTCACGAAGATAAATGGCTATGTTTTGTATTCAAGTCCATTAAAGTATCCGAATGAACTTATGTGAGGTTTTCGCCGAGAAAGGAGTGTGAAAATGCTAACAAAAATGGCTAATGAGGTGTTGTTTTTTTTTGGGGTGTTTTTTTTTTTTTGCTCATATCCTACTGAGCATGGAGCCTGTTTGGTATGCGGCGTATGTCAGTTGGTTGTAAGAGATGACATCAGCCGCCGTTTACCTGAAGTCGGGGAAATCGCTTCCCAGCGAGGCCACCTGGCACTGGATGGCAGGGAGATCCTGGAGCTTCAGGATTTCGGCCATCATGCTGAGAGCCTTCTGAAGCCACGCCTCCTCGGAGCCCTGAATGCCAAAAACATTTTTTCCCCTCCCGTTTATCTTGAGTTCATACAAATTCCACGAGCTTCCAGTCAGTGTCGGACTTTCTGCAGTTGAGCAATAAGACGCGGTCATTCATACTGTGGATTACGTCATATTAGCATTTACACGAAATGAATGAGGAACGCATTTATTGATTTACCTCATTTGCGATGAATACAGAGACAAATCAAAATGAACACATCCATTTTGCCGACCAAACCCCCCGACAAACTTACGTGTCTGGCGAAGAAGTCGTGCAGAGCGCACGCGTCGTCATCCACGTTGTCGGCGGCCTGTTGCTGCTGCTGTTTGTCCTTCAGCCTGAGTTCCCCCTTGAGAAGCCTGCGAGCGTACTCCACCGACACTTCCTGGTGCAGCTGGCCAATCAGCTCCTAGCGGGCAGAGCGCTCAGCCAATCAGACGTCAGTCTCACATTGCATCGCAGAGTGTCCCGTCAATATCACTGCCGCTCGTATCGCACGGCGTCGAATCTCACGCTTTTCACGTGATATTGCGTCGTGTCGCGCACGATACCACGCCGTAGCGTACCGCGCCGACGCTAATCGGACGATATTGTACCGGTCTCGATTGCATCGTTTCGCATTGCGGCACATCGTATCGTATCGTATTGTATCGTATCGTATCGTATCGTGCCGTATCATAATGTAGCATACCATAACGCATCGCGCTGTAATCGTACATGGTGCAGTATGGTTATTTGATTTCAAGTCATTGTATCCAACCGTGTCGTAACCTCTCACGTCACGTCTTATTCGTCTAGTAGGAAATCACGGCGTCACATAACACGACCGGCGTGGTGTGCCGCACGTTGTGGTCGTTCGTACCCGGTGACAGGACTCGGATGAACCTTGAAGCTGAGGCATTTCGTCCTCCAGGCCGGATAGCAGGAGCACCAGCGTCGACTTCTTCAACCACTCTTGGCTGAAAAGCTTCCGGTAGCACAACTGCGGTGTCACAAAGTTCAGATTGGAGTAGACAGCGTGGCGCGGCAAAAATGGCACGGCGGCCGGCGGCGTCACCTTGAGGTTCCTGTGCACGGGATTGAGCAGGTAGTCGTGCGCGCTTTGCTTCATGTCGCTCAGAACGCTCAGGCAGCCTTCGCGCACGTCCTCCGGGAACAGGCGGCTCTGCGTGCTCAGGAAGTGCCTGCGCACGCATCGGGAACGGACGTATGAAGACGCGAAGGCGTACGCGGTGGCAGAATGAGGAGTGATGCGATGGACGGATGAAAAAGGTTGAATGAGTGTCAAAAAACGGACAGATGCACAACCGAATGGACGGATGCAGGGCGGATGACTGGATGAATCGTTCTATGGACGGTGAGTGGATGAATGAATGATGGAACGTATACGCGAGTGAATGAACAAACGCAACATCACCTGAACTGCGCCACACAGCCGAGGTTGGCTTTGACGAAGGCCGCGCTGTTGGCCTTGTTGCGCTTGATGACTTGGGCCTGGAACGTCCTGAACCTTCAAGGCAACGGGGGCGCGGTCAAATACTTGGACCGACCGGGGTCTCGGTGTCGGCAACGGCGCCGCTTTACCTGTGCAGCAAGTCTTGCAGCTGACGAGTCAAATTCTGAGCCTTGTGCGGGTCGCCCACCACCTTCGCCGCCGCATTCACGATGCCGTTGACCATCTACGTAAAACCACATTGTTCGATTCCGTTTGACGCTATCGGTTGCCATTCAGTTAGCCTGTGCTATGCTAACTAGCCTAGCTAACGGATCTGTTCTAAGCTAAAAGGCTGCGCTACGCTATCGATCTGACGCTTCGCTCCAGTGCTCGGCTAAATGGTCTGAGCTGAGCTAATCAGCCTTTGCCAAGCTAATAGCCTCGGCTAAGCTAACTAACCACATCGTTCGATTCCGTTTGACGCTATCGTTTTGCCGGGTAGGCAAGAGAGCTGTACAGTAATCCGGTACCGTACCTGAATGACGTCATAGGCCGTTGGACTGACGAAGCATCCGTCCTCCTTGGGCGGCTCCTCGCCTTTGGTCCAGGCCTCCTGGGCCTGGTCTAGGATACGTCCGACGTACGTGGTCAGCTCTCGCTGAACAAACATTGACGTCCGACATGAAAAACAACTCTTGAGGGTGAACGTGAACGCCGCGGCGGGTACCTGCTGATGGCTGAGGTATTGTTCCTCCAGAGGTGAGAGGAGATTTTCAGGTAGGAGCTCTTGAAGGACTTTGGCGTCGATGTCGGCGGCCAGCTGAGGTTCCTGAAGCAACCTGGCGCACGAAGGAGCCGTTTTTAAATCCTTATGTGGTGAAATGCGCGTTAAGTTTAACGTTGAACCCCTGAAATGTGCTTGTTGATGGAATGGTTGGAATCGGTGGAGATACTTCCACATCTCTAAGAGGTCAATACGGCTGTCATTTTTGCGCTCGGTGAGAATTGCGATCTGGCGTTTAGGCAATGTGAAACTGACTGTGGGTAGTAGTCGTTGACCCAGCGCAGCAGGAAGGTGCAGTCCCGGTCGTCCAGCCCGAAGTCGGCCAGCCTCCTGAGCCTGATGCTGATGCAATGGTGGTACCAGGTGGCGTACAGCTGGCAAATGGCGAGGTGGCTCGGGTAGCACGGCTTGACGCGCTCCGCCACCAGCAGGAGGTCGCGCCTCAGCCGCCGGCCCATGCCGTGCACGTCGGCCTGGATGGACGACTGCTCCGTCGAGGGCGTGGGCGGGGCGTCCATGCGCTCCTCGACCAGGCTGCGCAGCGTCTCGTCGTGCAGCTGCCTCCAGCCCCTGACGGAAGATGCAAGAACAGCAAGTGTACCGCTTTGCATTTGAAACTGGATTTCGAACAGATTTTTTTTTTTTTAAAACAATTCTGTGTCCAAAATAATTCACCATTTCACTGTCGGCATAAAATTCAAATAATTAAACTCAAATTACAATTCTTATGATGAAAAAATGTGACAAGAAATAAGTCAAATATGTCAAATTTTGAACGCCAGCATTTTTACAGATAAAACATTCTACAGTCGAACATTTCTGAAGTCAAATCATCAAATCCATCATCAAGATTCAAATGAAAACTCGGATGGCACAAAAATACTCCATAATAAAATTTCAAGTTTAAATTACTCACACAAATATTTTTTTTTGCACCAAAATTTCAATTGTACAAAAAAATTTAAACAGTAATAATACCTCAAATAATTTAATCAATCTATAATTAGTCAATCAATCAAAACATTTTTTTTTGGGGGGGGAGGAAATCAATGTTTAAAATTAAAAATCTGATGCCAAAAAAAAATACCTCAAGATATATTGGAGTTTGATTCAAATCATCAAATATAAAAAATAAAATAAAATAAAAATCACCGTCGGAAAAAAAAACAGATGAATCTAAATCGTCAAATCAATAAGTGGGAAACCAATCAAAAATATCTTTTTTTGCACTGGAAACATCACACAGATTTTTTAGGGGGTGCGTCACAACTTCCAAGCGTTCCCTACCTGAGCCTCCAGGGCGGCGCCATGCCTCCATATTGCTCCCACCCATCGTCGCACTCGTCCTCCTGCTGCATAAACGTCACGGCTGACTTGAGCGCGTCGGCGTCCATTTGGTCCAGGGAGCCCCTGAGCGTCTGCAGCACCGCCTCCTCCAAAGTTTGCCGGTCGGCCGCCAGGGCGTCCACGTCCCCCGAGGGCACCTCGAGGGGGGGCGCCTTGTCGTCGGGGCCGCCCACGAAAAGACGCTCCTCTCGGGCCAGCAGCAGCCGGCCCGCCTCGCTCAGGTGCAGCGCCGAAAGATGCTGCTCAAACGTCAGCGCCGGTGGCGGCGGTGCTGGCGGCGCTGAAGCAGAAAACGCTCGGGTCATCGAGGGAAGCTAGGGTTCGGATTTCAAAAGAAGGTTTCACGCCAGGGACCAGGTTTTGCAATAAGGGCTTGGAGATCGTTTTGGGCTTTTCAATATCAAATGAAGGTCTCAAACCGGGATTAGGTTTCAAAGTAGCGTTTCAAGACAGCTCTGAGGTCCTACATTCCAGTTTCAAGCCAGGGAAACGGTTTCAAATGAAGTCTTCAAACCAGGGAGAGGGTTTCCAGTTAGTGTTCGGATTTTGAGACACAATTACGGTTTCAAACCATAGACAGGGTTTCCTGGTTCACTGTAGTGTGTCGCTCTGGGTTCAGGTTTTAAGGTCGTGTTTCAAGATTTTAAATCAGGTTTGCAAGGCAGGTTTGAGGTTTTAAAATTAGAGTTATAAAACAGGTTTTTTTTAGGCCATTGTTAGGATTCCAAGCAAGAATTAGGCTTTGAAATGAAAGTTTCAAGATTGATTTAGGGTTTCAAGCCAAAATTGAGGTTTCAAACTAGGGTTGGGGTTCTAGATTTGGGATTCAATACAGGCTTCGGGTTTTTGGAGCCAACTTTAGGCTTTCAAGTGAGACAGTTTGGCTTGATGGTGACTCTTCATTCATTTCCACTTGCACCTCATGAAACTGCTAATTAGCCTGTGCTAAGGTAACCAGCCTTCACTAAGCTAACTGATATGTTCTAAGACACAGGTGTCAAAGTCAAGGCCCGGGGGCCAGACCTGGCCCGCCACGTCATTTGATGTGGCCCTCCGAAAGAAAATCATGTGTGTCAACTTGCACGATCCTTCCTCAAATCTGGACCAAAATGTCAAATTAGCATGTATAATCAATGATAGAATTTTGCAATAATTTTGTTCATCTATTGTAGTTGGTTTGGTGTGTACAAGTAATAATGCGATGAGACAACATTTTTGTGGTTTCACAGCCGGGCCTCTGAAGGAAGACGTCACTCCAAAGTGGCCAGCGACAAAAATTCGTTTGACACCCCTGTTCTAAGGGCGAATAGCCTGCGCTAGGCTATCTATCTTACACTGCGCTAATTAGCCTGTGCTATTCTAACTAGCCTAGCTAACGGATCTGTTCTCAGCTAATAGCCTGCGCTAGGCTATCTATCTGACGCTGCGCTACAGTGCTAGGCTAATGGTGTGAGCTGAGAGAACCAGCCTTTCCCAAGCAAATAGCCTAGGCTAGGCTAACTAACCTGTGCTAATAGCAAAAAGTGTTTGTTTTTGTCTGAACGCACCTGTGAGGTCAGGGATATCTTGGGGCTCCGTCCGTTTGTCCGTGGTGGAGGTGCTGTTACGCCTGACTTGAGGTGCTTTGGGGCCCCACACCTTGGGGAACTTCAGGTTCAGCTTGGGTCCTCCCGCCGCTTTCCCGGGGGGCTTCTTCTCGGCGGCCGCCTTCCGGAGGGGATTGGACAAGGGTGCCAACGTTGACCACTTGAAGCCGTCATGTTTCTGGGGCGAGTCTGACGCATCGCATACAAACATGTTTTGACACATAAGCAGGCTTTCAAAGTGAGGTTTCAAGCCTGCGTTGGGTTTTAATCTAGCGTTTCAAGACATGATTGAAATTTCGGGGCAGGGTTTGGGTTTCAAAGTTTCAAAGTCGAGGTTAGGGTGTTAAATGAGGGTTTGAGGACAGGGACGCTGTGAGTCGGGTTTCAACCAAGGTTTAGGGGTTATCAATGAGGCTTTAAGTACACGTTTCGGGATTCAAGACATGGTTTAGCCTAAACCGTTTAAGTTTCAAAATATGGGTTTCAAGCCTGAGTCAGGTTTCAAAGTAGTTGAGTTTTAAATTTGGAGACGGGTTTAGGGATTCAAACTTGGGTTAAAGGTTCAAAGAAGGGTTGCGAGCCAAAGTTGGGTTTTAAAATAGGCTTTTCAAGTCTCCGTTGGAGTTTCAAACTAGTTGTGTGGTGTTAAAGTGGAGTTCTCATGCCCGGGTTGAGCTTCGAGGTCGGGTTTCAAGCCAGGGTTACAATTTCAAAAGAGGGGTTGAACTTAGCATTGCAAAGTAGGCTTTCGAGCCAGGATTTCATAGACGGGCTCAACCAGTTTGAAATCAAAAGTGCTATCACTGTCAAGTTAAAAAAAAAAAAAAACCCCGCACTGCTTATCAGATGGTTCCAGCGGACTTTCAGAATAAAACCCAATCTTGTCATCCGTGACGGAAAAACGGGTTTTTCTCGATGTTGTTTTCGTTCTTTTGCGAAGAGCATCAAATCACCAAAATCAACAAACTCAAAAACATTCAAATTGTGACAAACTGACACGTTTTCATACGCGACGCACATGAAAACGTGTGCGCGCGTTTCTGACAGCGTGTACACGTGTGTGTTTGTATTTGTGTGCGTGTAAATATTTGTGTGTGTATTTGTGTGCGTGCGTACTACTCACCCGATCTCATTGCCGCTCCTCTCACAAAACACACTCGCTCTCACACGCTCACAGTTTTTAAGTAACTGCCTCAAGCCACGCCTGGACCGAAAATGACGTCACGCACGCACAGACTGCACGCGCGCACAGACAGCACGCACGTGCACATGTGCAAACATTCCAAATTTTAAGCGGTTCAATGAGCGTCACACGCTGCTCAAAGCGGGGGCGGGGGGATTCGAACTTATTTGAACAGCCTGAATCATGGGCTTTTCCCCAACAATTTTACAAAGAGTGAGAAAAGAAAGCTAACAGCCAGTGCGATTGTTTCGCTTTGGTGCCAGGCATGTACAACCATCCACTGCCCTCCAAAATGAAAAGCGAAAGTATCGCTGACAAGTGCGTGCCACGAGGGAACAGCCTCACCACAAACATGCGAGGCTGTACAGGAAATGAGACATTTAGCATGCAGCGCAGGAACCCGCACGATTCGGGTCTCGCTTGCAAGTGCAACATGTTCGCAACACCAACAAACGCCCAAACTCACTTTGCGGTTCCCCATTGAAAGGTCGAAGGGGGAAGAAAAAAAAAACAGCACTCGAGACTTTTTCCTCGGATGCACTTACAATTTGGTGAACGTGTCCGTCAGAACGAGATGCACGAAAATGTCTCAAGGAACCATTCCTGGAATTCAAGTGGAAGTCGCTCACATGAACGATTGAGTGGCCACTGGAAAGTCCTGGACACCTGCTTGATGGATGGACTTGGAATCGGATCAACTTGTCTTTCAGGCCAGGATGCGCAAAAAAAGTCTAGAAGACCCAGGCCGAGTATTGAACAGGAGGTTGTCCATTTTGGACCTGCAAAAGTTAATCGGTTTGGTGGCATAGCTCCTGAAATGTTGGGAGGAAAAAAAAATCAGCCCCCCACCCACCCCACCCCTCATTAAAATTCAAGTGGCACAGATTTTGCTTGTCGTATTTTTGTGCCATTCACTTTTTTGGCCCCGAGCTTTTACATTTTTTTATGCCGTACAAATTCAATTTTTGAAATTTAAAAATCGGTGTCAAAGTTTCAAATTCAAACTCAAATGCAAATGTTTTTTTTTGTTTTTTTTCAAATCGTGAAAATTTTGGTGTAAAAAATTTAAAGCCGCGCCACATAATTCTTCCAGTATTTTTGTGCCAATTGAATTCGAGTACAACTTTTTTTTAAACAACATTTTTTGATGGGGGGTGTGTTGGGGGGGGGGGCATCAACAGATGAGCGGCTTGCGCTTCCCGCGTGGAAGCTATTCGCCGGGGAAGACGAAGGTGAAGCAGAAGGAGGAGACGTCCGACAGGCAGTCGGCGCGAAGCGGAGCCTCCATGTTGCGGAAGAGCGAGCGGCGGCCATGATGGTCGTTGCCGGTTGCCGTGGTGATCTTCGTCTTCCTCAGCTGGTCGAGCCTGCGCAGGATGCGCTGATGCTCGCGGCCACGCAGCACGCCGCGGAACGCCAGCACGGCCGTAAGGTGCCTCGAGCTACGCGTGCCACAAAAAAAAAAACAAAAACACGCATCACCAATACGATTATTTTCCATCTTTTTCGGAATTTCATTGCGACGCGGCATTCGATGGAAGAAAAATCTGACGCGATGCCGCAAAGTGGCTTTATTTATTTTTTCCCCCCATCCGCGCCGACGTGAATGAAATCGTTTGCATGCTTCCGACGAAGTGTGTTTTTTTTTGTTCAAATGAGCTGCCGCCTAACGAGGAAAATCATCTGATTGGCCGCGTTGGATGTCATCGTAGGCGGTTCCTAATCAAGTGGCCAAAGATGCCAGCGTCTTCCCCTTATTTTTTGTCCGCGTGTTGATCATTGACCGGCGACTTCCTTCTCGCCGTTTGACAGATGGCCGGCCGGCGAGCAAGTGGGCAGCCCCTAAGAGGAAGCTTTCCAACTGAAGTTCAAACCGCAGGACAGCAGGATGTCGCACGTCTTCATTTGGACCTTTTTCTCTTGGCTGTCGAAAGTGCCAATTCTTTCTTCGAGCTCTTGTCTCGTTTTGTTCCGTTTTCGCATGAAATACAGCATCCTTTTTTTTTTTTTTTTTTTTTTTTAGTATAAAAGCCCAGAAGTCCATTTGCCCATTTTATTTTTTTGTACAAGAGAAATTGTCCTGATGTATTTATTTATTTATTATGTACAACAGAATGTCCTTATTTTATGAGTTGAGTATTATATTTTTTATTTGGACATGACATACAAATGTATTCAATTGTACTTTGGCATAAAATCCAATTTCCTTGATTAAAAAAAAAAAAAAAAAAAGAATTATCACCATAAAAGAAAAAGAAAAATCCGATTTTTTTCCCTTTCCATAAAATACCATTTCCGTCCTCATTTTTTTAAAAATTGTATTTAATCGTGAAAGAAAACTCAATTTTCTTCAATTTCACTTGACCCCAAAGTACAACTTCCAACGTCTCTTTTTACTTTTCCATAAAAGAAACAATTTGACCAAAATTGCCGACAATTTGTCTGATTTTATCAGATCCGAAATGTTCTACGATGATGATCATGAAGACGGCGACGACGACGACAAATGTGGGGTCCAAACCTGAAGTCCGGGTATTGGTCCAGTAGAGGCTGCAGGTGGTCTTTGATGTCGCCTTCGTTCTTCTGGCCCACGATGTCGCTCAGGTAATCTCCGACGGGGTCCAGCCAGTCTTCCTGCGAGCCCTGAGCCGCAACGTGCCCCCCCCCCCCCAAAAAAAATGGCTTTGGTTTTTCCGAAGACGGACGATTCCCGCTCGAAACTGAGCTCAAGAGTGCCGTTGATGTTTGTGAAAAGGCCTGCGTTTCCTTTGACTTAAAGTAAACAAGTACGCTCGCTTCAACCAGGACTCGAACTTGTCGTCAATGTTCACAAAAAACCTGCAAAATTTTCTTTGATCTTTACGAAAAAACAGCTCAATGATTATTGACTTGGAATTGTCTTTGTTTGTGAAAACAAGTACGCTAGCTTCACCGAAGACTCGAAATTGTCGATGTTCACAAAAATACGCGAGGCTCGACTCGAAATTGCCGTTTCGGAGAAATTGTTTGGGCTTGAACCTGCCCTTGTTGATGAAAACGAGGTTGACGGAAGGCATTGATGTTTGTGAAATCGGCTAGCATTCATTTCGCGTCGATATTTCGTTTACGAAAACGCCTCAACTCCATTAAAAGATGCTCAACTGTCTTTGGTGTTTATGGAAACAAACTTAGTGTCACATCAAGTCTTCAGCGTTGATAAAAAAAAACCCATTTAAGCATTCGGTGTGAGGAAGTGTTTTTGTCGTTACCATGCGATGGAAGAGGTCGGCGAGCTCGGAGCACTGCGCTCGCATCTTGCCGGCCGCCTTGTGGTGTTTGCGCTTCTTGCACGAGTAGTTGGTCTTCATGAGCTGGCCCACGTACTCCTTGAGCACGTGGTAGTGCGCCGCGCCGGCCACGTCCTGCCGCAAACGCGCGGTCGGCCCAACGTGATTGGGGATGACGTCATTTGGGGGGAGGGGGAGGGGCGACGGCCCTACCTGGCGGTGCGGCGGCCGCATGGCCTCGCAGTGCCGCGCCAGAAGCTCGGCGCGAGCGTGCAGGCCGCTGAAGTCGTCGTCGTTTGTCAGCCACTTTCTCGTCATCATCCGACGCAGGTACAGCTGCAACGAACGACAAGAGCTGGCTACCGGTGCGATTGACTCTTTGAGTGCTCGCCGACACCAAGTACCGACCGACACCGCTGGGAGCTTTCAGACAAAACATTTCATTTCACACGACAAACAGAAAACTGTGACCAAACAGTTTTCTTTCTGACGCAGACGAGGACGCGCAGGTGGGTCAAAGTGCCGCAGCGTAGCGCCACCTATTGCCGAGGAGGACTTACAAACACATGCATGTCATTGAAGACTCCGAATTGCACTTGATGTTGACAAAAAAAGTGCACATTAGTTTGTTCAAGAATCTAAAATCTATTTGAACCAACGTAAATTGTCTTTGATGTTTATGACAACCAATAGGTGAGTTTTTTGGGGGGGGGGTTTTTCCCCCCGAGCGAGCATAATCGCATGCCGGCTAAATAAATACGCTCAACATGTGATATGTATTTAATCACCGAAATGCGGGTGAAGGAGGAAAAAAGGGAAGTCATCGATTGTGAAATCACCATCACGGGAATTCACCCACATTTTCCCTTGAGTGCACTTCCACTTTTTTTTCCTCATCAACTACTCGCTGTTGTGACATGTCGTCGGTTCTGCTTTTGTCAAAACAAGCGCTTCAATCTATCACTCCCTCCTTCCTTGAAAATAAACAGGCGCGGCGAGACCGCGCAAGCTCACGTGGGATTCCCCGACAAAATAAAACGAAAATGAGATTTCATGACGATGTCCCGCTCGATCAAAAACTTTTTAAAAAGTATCGCGTTGCACTTGGACCTCCTCGAACCGAAGGGAAATAAAACTCAAACTAAATTCAAGGATGATGGAAAAATGCATTGAAAGAAGCACACATTTTTGGGAACTAAAATAAAACACTCTTAGTAGTTGTCAAATTGAAAATATTTCAAATTAGGCTACCTAAAAAAAAATGAACTAACACAATAAAAATATGTATTTATATGTCATCATTTTTCAATATTTGGGGAAAACAAGAAAAAGCAGCATTTTTCAAACACACAGGTGCATTTTTTTATGGGGTCGTTTTCCTTTCGTTTACTTGTTGAGCCGTCTGCTTGAAGTTTTTGGAAGACAAAAACATGACCAAGGTATGTTTTAAATAGTGTGTCATCCAAAAATATTGAAAAATGACTTTTGGCAATGACGCTAGGTGCGCGACAATAATATATTGCAAACGCCCGAATACAAAAAACAAAAATATAAATCAAGAAAAATGATTCCACATAAAAATTCAAATAATCTTGATTAAATTAAAATGATACTGCAAAAGATTCAAACCTGGATTCAGAAGCATTAACACGCTGATTTCATTTCCGTGCAGCGTAACAGCTAAATGCTGCTTCACCATGTTGGCGTTGCACTCTGGGCCCTGAAAATTGACCCCAGTAAGCAGACCTCAGAGCCCTACTGGGTTGAAATTTAATCGGCATTTCTTTCAAGTATTCACGACCCAATCCATTCAGTGAGGTCGAGACCAGTAGCAGAATTTTAAAAACTCTTCTACAGCAGATTAGCAAAAGACTTTGGAGTGGAGTCGTAGAGTCTTACGGACTCTCTGCTCTGGTCAGAACCCAAACAGCGGCGATTGGAATAAGCTGCAGATGTTTGATGCTCTTGTCAGGAAGTCCAGTCAGAAGACCGTGATCATAACCAAGTCTCCTGGATATAATATATGAGCAATCATCAAATATGTAAACGTGGTTTTGCACCTTGACGTCTCCCTTGAATTGCAGCTCGAGGCCTTCTCGCAGGGTGCGCAGGAGCCACGTCACCTCCTTCCTCACGGCCTCCACCCCGTGGGGGTTGGCGCTTGCGTACGAGTCGTCAATGTGGCGCCTAGCACACACAGACACACACACACACACACACACACACACACACACACACACACACGCACACACACAGACAGGCGCGCGCACGGAGAAAACGTTTCGGTGTGTTGTTGATGAGTCAAGCAAGTCACAAACACTTTCTCTTGCAGAAACTTGGAGGCGGGCAACGCGTCCAAACATGCCAATGAGCACTTGACGAGTGCCAGGCGCTCAAGAGAGACAAAAAAAAAGCAGGGCGCTTGAGGAACGCCCACGCAACAATGCGAGCGTTTACGGCAAGTCACGTGACTTACTGCAAGGCATGGAAGCAGTTGATGTAGGTGACCTGGAATTCGCTCCACAGCGGCTCGTCGGCTGGCAGAGAGGACAGCTGGCGACGGAACTCGGCGTGGAACCTGCACGTGTGCGTTTCGTGGTTTAAAATTCGGCGGAACGCACAAAAGTCCCACGCACAAAAGTCCCACACACTTTAACTGATCATCATCATCATCATCATACTGCATTCAAAGTAATTGAAAAAAAAAAACATCATTAATACCAATAATAACAAAAATTATAATTAAAAATATACACAAGATGATGAAAACGTAAAAGCAAATTAATCATTGATAAAATATAAAATAAACAACGACATAAAATAATGAAGTATGATTACTACAATCATGGTTTATAATAAATGAATACATTTAAAATACAGTATATTGTTAAAAAAAAATGCAATAAAAAAACAAAAATCTAAATGAAAAATTGTGATGAGTGAAAAAATAGATATTGGTCTTAAATTTTAACTGTCGTGTGAAGTATTCCAACAAAGCAAGAGACAAAGCACTATTATTATCCATCTATCCATTTTCTGAAGCGCTTGATCCTCACAAGGGTCGCAGGGGTCGTCGGAACCTATCCCAGCTGTCTTCGGGCAGTAGGCGGGGGACACCCTGAACCGGTTGCCAGCCAATCGCAGGGCACACAAAAACGAACAACCATCCGCGCTCACACTCACACCGAGGGACAATTTCGAGTGTTCAATCAGCCTGCCATGCATGTTTTTGGAATGCGGGATGAAACCGGAGTACCCGGAGAAAACCCACATAGGCCCAGGGAGAACATGCAAACTCCAAACAGGGAGGCCGGAGATGGAATTGAACCCGGTACCTTTGCACCGTGAGGTCGACGCGTGAACCAATGGACCACCAGGCCGCCCCACTATTATTATTATTATTCTTATTGTTGTGTCTGTTGGGTTTTGAGACGTTTTTGAATGATGTACGTTTGATATTGTCGCACAGCGCAGAGGTTGTTTATCAGGGGAATTGAAAGTCATGTTTTTTCCTGTTGATACCTTCTGCAAGGCTTTCTGCAGTTGCATGACCAGCCACCCACTTCTTCTTCTTCTTCTTCTTCTGCTTTTGAAAGATTTTCTCATGTTTGCCAATCGTGAAAGATGAGCTTCCACTTTGGCCAAGTCAACCTAAAATCAATATGAGTGAGCGAAATACAGAACCTCTTGGGGAAATCCTGCAGCTCTCCCAGGCAGGAAGCCACCACGCCTCGTTCCAGGTCGGCGTCCACTAATCGGGCGTTCACAACGTTGCCGCTCACTTTCTGCACACACGTCACATGACAGCTTGAGTCTGCTGCCCTCAGCTGGCCACGGAAGGTATTGCGACCGCACCAGGGAAAAAAAATAAAAGTTCAATTTCATCGCCACAAAATGTATTCACGTAAAGATGGACAACATTAAACGTGACATTGATGACAGTGTAATATGACAGCGAAGGTTTTGTTTCTGGCGTGGCAAGAACGCTTCCGTTGACATGGAACGCGCAAGCAAGATTTTAATACAATTTGATGGATACCGGCTTCACGTGACGTCAAACAAGTGAAAGCCGACGAAAAAGCAAAAGAGTTTTGCGTTCGGAGCAAAGCGTGAGCGTCGCTGCCTGACCGTGCAGATGTCCATGTGGAACATGGAGGTGAGCAAGTGGTCGTCGTCCGTGTCGGGATGCTTCCGGACGCTCCACATCTCCTCGTTCTCCAGCGCCACCAGGCGGTCCAGAGCCACTCTCATGTCCTCCTTGGAAGCGGTCGAAGAAATGAAGAGATTCCGATTTAAAGCGACACTCCACAAGAAGCGGCTCTCGAGCGTTTTCGGGTAACATTAGTAGACCGCGGGCTCCCTCTAGCGGTATGCAAGTGAATGATTGCCCAAGTACGCCTTTGAAGTTCGACATGGAATTAACACATCGATTTGACTCGTCGCTGACACTGAAACATTTAAATAGTGCACGTATATTTTTGAAACAACTTGATTGATGATTTCGTTTTCATGTATTTATGATTTCACTTTTGTCTTATTGACTTAGTGACTCAACAGCAGCGGAGTGGCGTCCCACAGCGCCCTCTATCGACCAGCTGCCACAAAATGTCAGGCAACGCGGCGCCTCAGTGAATGGCGGCGCGGTCAACGGCGCGGCATAGCGGCGAAGGTGAAAGGTGACCAAGTGGAAGGCAACACAGTGAAAGGCAACTCACTCAACGGTGGGGCTTCACGGCACGAGGCTACGGTGGAATCTGGCAGAGCGAACGGCGACGCAATCAAAGGTGCCACAGTTGAAGCGGACGCAATTTAAATCCCAACATAAGGCAAAAGGCACAACGCAGTGAAAGACAACCGAATGAAAGGCGACAAAGTTCTAAGACAATACAATAAAACGAGACACATTGTAAGGCTACAAAGTGAAAGGCTACAAAATGAAAGGCAAAGCAGCAGTTAGAAGGCTACACCACGAATGGCAACACAATTAGAAGGCAACACAAAGAAAAGAGACACATTGAGCGCAACACGGCGGAGGGGAACGTTTCCCCCGCGTCACCTTTCACTGTGTGGCCACTTGATGACATCACAGCGAATGCTGTCCGGGGCTCAAAGAGGCCACGCCCACCCGTTCACCTTGACAGTGCGGCAGAACTTGTCTCTGAGCCTCAGCAGCAAGTCTTGGTCCAGACGCAGGTCGATGTCGACGTGGCTCATGTCGGGCTCCAGGGCGGGGCTCGCCATCAGACGCTCGCTGCCGACGGGTAACAAGCGCAGCGTTGGCAGCAAAGCGGACACGCGAGCAACACACAAGAACAAAAAAAGATGCGCCGGGAGCCATGCCCGACGGATTTTTTCTGTGTTTTTTTTTCTGTTGTAAGCACAGTCGGAATGCCGTCAATCAATCTGCTGCTTCTTCTTCTTTTGGAAATGTTTCAAACATTCCTGCTGTCGGACGTCAACTCTCTGCTATCATTTTGTCTCGCCGCTTATTTTATGAGCATAGTGATGTTTTTACGTGATGAAATGCGGCGGAATACACTCTACAATTATTGAGAAGTTAACGAAAACGAATGAAATAACAAAAAGTGAGAAAAATATTTTCATTAACAAATTCAAGAAAAAAGAAATGGCTTTAAAAAAAAAACCCTGAAAACTAACATCTTTCATTTGTAAAATTAAGTCAAACCCCTCAATGACTCAACACAATTCTTTGGCACCAAGATGCCACGAGATGGCGGCAAAGCACTACTTTTGGCTAAATGAAGCTCCTATAGTTCACTTTAACCGACTGCCTTAAAACCACAAGATGGTGCCTTTGTGATCAATGAAGTTTGGAAATGACTCCAACATAGTTCCTTGGCCCGTTTTGACGGGGTTTTCACGATACGAGCCGTTGCTCGGAGGATGTATTTTTTTTTGCAACCCCCCCCCCCTTTTTTTTAACTGGCAGTGCGAAGGGGTCAGACAACTTCACAGCAACGGGCATAAGCGGGAGTCGGCCGTTGAGTGGCCGCTGAGAACGGGCGGCCTTCACTGACCTGCGGTAACGGTGCACCATCCAGTCCAGCAGGGCGTAGAGGTCCTTGAGCTGGGCGGCGCGGCCCTCCAGCACGCGCAGGTGCCGGCCGACGGCGGCGTGGTAGCTGCGCACGTAGGTGGCGAACACCCGGAAGCTGGGCGGGTACGACCGGCGCAGCTCGCGCTTCACCTTCTCCAGATCCTCCACCACTGCCTTGCCCAGAAGACCCAGGTGGACCGCCAGCCACGAGGCGTTACTACACGTGGCAGAAAGGATTTGCGGCTTCTCGAAAAAAGAAAAGATTTTTGTCCGTGCCGTGAAGTGACCCCGCCCCACCTTTGGTTCGTCGGCTCCAGATGGACGGCGTCCACCTTTTCCCGGGCGCCCTGCTCCACCGCCTCCCTCCAGGCGTCCATCCAGCTCCCGTGGAGACCGCCGGCTTCCCGGGCCCGCTTGTCCTCCTCCTGGACGATGCGGGCCACGTGGACCAGGAGGCCCTTGTTCCTGGCGGGCAGCGAGACGGAGGTGCGCACGATGCCGGCGATCTTCAGCCGCAGGTCGGCGTAGAGGAGGCTCAGGTCCTTCTCCTTCTTGGCCAGCTCCACCGTGGAGTCCTCCCGGTCCAGGCCGAGACGCTCCCGCTGGAACTCCGCCCGCAGAGCCAGCAGGTGGAGGTGCGCCTCCTCCAGGACCTCCATCTCGATCAGCTTGCTGATCTGCATCACTGCCGACCAAAAAGTCCAGTTACCTCTTCCGCGGCTAACCTGCCAAAGCCCATCTGGATTTGGATTTGAACCAAATGCGCAGTGTGCACGCGCAGCTTGGGGTTGTCACGTCAAACCCCAAATGAAATACGGACCCGATCTTTTACAAAAACAAACGATTGTTTCGCATGACTTGTCGACGTTAACGGACATGCGGTTCAGGTGTCGCTTTGATTGGAGTGTTTTTTATTGCTTTCATAACCACAAGTGGAGCCTGCATCTGATTCAAACTCGGCCACTTGATTGCAAAAAAAAAAACAAATGACAATAATTGAAGTGAAAACTGCCAATTTGATGTGAGCATTTACATTGCTTCCAAATGTGCAATCCGGATGCGATCCCGATGAGGTGATCCGTTTCAACTTGTTTTGACATCACGTGGCTCCATTCGTGAAATCGGGATCAGATCCGGACTGATTTTAATCAGCAACTTTTGCAACCGGACGGCGGCATCATCCATGAACAGAATTGATTAGCATGATTGAATTTTGGGTCCTATCACAAGAAAGTTCGCAGCTGAGCTTGCTCGCAAGCAAGTTCATGCACGCGGATGAAAGCGAAAGCTCGCCGATGTCGAGGGAAACATGAACCAGAACGTTGGCGGCGTCAGCACACTTTGGAGATCGCCATCGACAGGAATGTTTTCAAAACACGCCGATAATAAACATGGAGGACGCAGAATGGGCGGGACAAAGGCTGTGGGACGGCCAGTCCTTCGAGGCCTTTGTTTAAATACACACACACACACACACACACACACACACACACACACGCACACACACACGCACACACACACACACACACACACACACACACACACACACACACACACACACACACACGGCAATGTTTGGTTGCTGGGCTCTGTGTGAAAGACTCAGGTTTCATTCATTGCCGGTTGTTTGCGTGAAAGACGCCGTCCAATCCAAGTCTTTTAGGCCTGAACGCGATGGTGATATTTCCCATTGTCCTTGAATGCAGCGTGCAAGCATTCGGGGTTTGTTTGTTGCTTCCCAGTCTCACCTGAGAGAGGAACGTGCGGCAATTCGGGCAACGTGTACGCCTCCTCCATCTCCTCCCATGCTTCCGCTTCGCCGTCGTCTTCCTCTCCTTCCTCATCCTCGTCTTCCTCCTTGGCCTCCCCCTGGACGGCCAGCAAGGCGTCCTGTCGCTTGCCCTTCTTGGAGCTGAATCTCAGGCTGCGACGAATGGACGCTCCCTTCTTCAGGAGGGAATCCAGTCGGGCCAGGTTGGGTTCTGAGGGAGAGGCGGACCCTCGTAAGCGCAAAGCAGACGCGGGACACGTCCGGCCGTCACTTTTCCGATGACGGGTAGCTCACCTGTCCTCGAATGCATCACGGCTCTGCTTTTCGGCGATTGGTCGTGGTCGTCGTCGCCGTCTTTGGTCCGGAGGCGCGCCGCCGCGCTCCTCGGCGGCGACGTGACGCCTGACAAAAAAAGAACAAACGGAGCCAGCAGTCAGCGGCGCGTCCTTCGGGTGACCCGCTCGGGAATGCGCAGATGCGGGCGTTGCCACGGTAACCCCTTCATGACCAACCGCACACATAAAACAAAAAGACCAACGCAAGATGGAAATCAAATGGAGGAATTGATGCGGCATTGAAGCATTTTTGTGAAAGAAACAAATAAACAAACAAAGAGCGTTGTGTTCATTGTGTACGGAATCCATTTTGTCAATTCAGTTGTGGGGCAGAAAGAAGACCACGCTAGGAAGCTCCTACTTTTGAGAGGTCCAGGAACCTTTGAAAATGTTCAAATGCAGATCCGCAAAGCTTCGTGATAGGCTCTGATCCCGGGATTGGTACCTTTCAGTGGAGCTCAAAAATCTATTTTGCCTAAATTTGTTTCCCAGTAACGGGAGATGACGTTCAAGAGGTCCGATTTCAGGTATCTGATTGAAAGATCTTCGTTCCCTTTGGGATCTGACTGCAATCTTTCAGTTCCAGGGACAGCAAGTGCCAAGCACTGAATTTTCCTGTCAGTGTAAATGGTTTCGACTTTCGAAAGGCCATCAGACTGACCGGGATACTTTCATCGAGGCCAAAAGCAGACCCGAAACTCGTCTGATGACAACTTTTCAGATTCCGAAGCGACAAGTCAGAAGCACAAAAAGTTCCCGGAACCTCGGGACTCACCGGGTGAATGTGGCGCTCTGTCTGGCGTGGACGGCGACCGGTTCTTGGACCCCCGGGACCCCGGCGTGAGTGGACTTTTCTCGGCCGCCAGTCGGATGTTATTTCGGAAAGTCTCCAGCAACCCCGAAGTCTTCTTGGAGGCGTCGTCCTCTTGGTGGGGGGGGATTGGTGTGCTGGGGTCCATCGCTTGGGTACCGGCTACTGAAGGGGAAAGGGACTTTAGAAAGGTGGCTTCTCTGAACTTTTTACACCAAGTTCCATCGCAAAAAGCAATCAACTCTCCAGGTACCACCACAATGAGCAACATTTAAAATACAGGACGGCCGAAATCTTCGTCAAAAATTGGTGACGTTGAACCAATACAAAAAAAAAAAAACAGTGTAGTCAAAGTGCACTGAACGCAAAGGAAATCGCTCCATTTTCCACATGACCCAAACTGGATTTTTTTTGTTTGCCCATAACACGGCCACCCGGGTCGTCGACATGGCGGCAGGAAGGCCGAGCGCCGTCTTACTGGCGGAACTTGTTTTGTCTCGCTTCTCACTCAAAAGACGTTGGGTCCGAAATTCAAGTTACAGTTGCTACGGTAACGTCAGTGATCTCTCTCACACACACAAACACACACACACACAGACAAACAAAGACACGCACACAATCATAGCGAGCGCACTAACGAATGTCCTCCAGCGACGTCAAAGTTTCATTTGAGGAGAGAAAAAATACATTTTGTCATTTTGTCATTTTGAGCCGTCTGCTTTCATCAAGTGGACTGAATGCCAATCAAAGCAATTGATTTATTTTAAAATGGGGCAAAAGGCCACTTCAAGGATCACTGCACTGGACCTTGCTTGATATTCATTCCTTTTATTTCGAACACATTATTGATATTGCGTCAAACATTTTTATTTTACAAGTGTGTTGTGTAATACAATGCACACATTATTATGTAAATAGTACATTCATAATTTTTGGAAGACATTTTATATAATTTTTTTTTTTTTTTTTACCTCTCTACCTGAAATTGACCGTAAAACTACGCGGAAACAAGTCAAACTGAAGCGTGCAAACAATCACGATAAGATTAAAAAGACAGCCAACAGTCTTTTGAACATCATTTGAGTCCGCTTCCATTTAGGATTTGTACAACGTGTCCTTTAGTTCCTCCGCAGCACACAAAGTAATCTGCGATTCAAAAAATGTCTCGATCAAGCTGGATAAAATACGAAATGATAAATCTGTCGTGAGGTGAAGACCAACAGCTGAAAACGGAGCACATGCAGAATTTCGTTCGGACTGGTTTGAAGGCAAACGACAAAACGACGACCTTGCGCTTCGCTTACCTGCTTGCTCAGTCAGCCCAGGAAGAAGAAGAGCAACGCACTTGCTTTGCTTTGCTTTTCTTTTCTTTCCTTTTCTTCACTTCAGCTGCTTTCATTTCGTGTGCACGCGAAAGGGAGAAGGGCAACGTGTCGAATCGCAGCGCATCCAGAAAGTTTGGAGGGAAAAAAAAACCCCAAAAGAAAAAAAGAACAGGAATGACAATGAATGGAGAGTGCCAAAGACGTGCCAAAGATCACCTTCATGCCTCCAGTTAATCATTACACTCGCGCTCGCGCACGCGCACGCGTGTAAAAGTCACTCCCGCGTACAGTATTGTAATTTATCCTCACTTGGCTTTAAGAGGCACTTTTTCCACCCCCCCCCCCCTCCTTAAAGGAATGTTGCGCCCGTTTTCCTTTGACTTCTCGGAAATCTCAAGGTCGCAAGCCTCGTCAGCACTTTGGGGAGCTCGCCAAGCCAAATCGCAGCACTATTTATGTTTAGGGTCACATATGATGTAATATGTCGTTGAATGTCGCCACGGGTAATCGTTTTAAAGTGCGGAACTAGTTCTGGGCACGCTCAAGGCAAACAAAACTTTGGCTCTTGAACGTTAGTTCGGTCAAGGCGGCGAGTTGTCGAAGGGATGTCATGTCGATATTGTCCGCCAGAGGGAGCTGTGTGTGTACGGTGGATGATGTACATGACGTCACAGACGGCGTTCATTGAGACCTTGATTCCGTTCAAAATAGTTTTTGGACAATTATTTCCAGTGATCATGTAATGCAATAACCATGTTCATATTTACATATTTATATATTATACTGACTCCATCTAATGGGCCAAGCTTCAATTTATAATTATAATTATTTGTTGAATAATTAAAACGAATGTAATCATTGCAATCAATATCATCGTAATTTTTTTCAGTTTTTATTTCTAGTCGAATTTTTTTTTTTAATTTTCTGACCATTTCCACCTCTCTGTTATTATTTACATTTGTTTTGTCTTAATTTGATATTTTAAATTCTCATTATTGTTGTTTATCCATTTAGAAGTACATTTATACGTTGTAGCTGGACACCATATGAACACTAAATAGAACCTTAGTTTGTTTTCTAAAAATGTGAAACAGTGTTGATCTCACCAAAACGTTGTTTTTGTATGAATAATTTTTAAATAACAAAATTTAAACATTTATTTTGTGCTATTTTTTTTCAGTATATAGTCACTATATACAGTACAACAATCTGAAAGCTTTTTATTCTCGTGCTAAAAAGTTTTTGTTTTATAATAATCACAAGATGCACACAATAAGAAGCATTTGAAAACATATTATATTACGTAGTATTATGTTGATGAATTTAGATTTCATTTTTTGGGGGGGGTTCTATTTGTGCTCTTACTGTATGTCGATGTAGCGTTTGCGTAATGTCTTCTTCTCTTTTCACGCTAATCCTGAATGGATTTAACCCTGCAGGAGGTATCTGTATCTACATATAGACGTGATAATCCGCCATTATTGGTGGACATTCTGGAACGAGCCAGTCTTAATTCACAACAACACCACCAGTGGGCCTCAGATTAGCGTTCCATTATGAAGCGCGCGTGCATGTTGGCGTGCGCATGCGCGCGTGCCGCTCATTGTGAGGAAATGAAATGCAGATCGTCTTTGTGATTGTCTCGTTCCTCCCTGCCCTTTTTCTAAATCGCGCTTATTTGGAGTTTGCAGTGAGTGCGCAAGTTGACTGCATCGCACCCGGAGGTCTGACAAATATTTTGTCCGGCACGTTGCAATTTCTTAACGTCTTTATGGATCTTTGTGTGTGAGAAATAGCAGGAAAAATGGTTGGGCGCACACCCCGACACCACAGGATAATCGCTAGGGATCATCTTTTGGAGACAAATTGGGTTTTTGTTCACTTGGATTGGAAGGGAGTGAAAATGCTCGAATTTGGTACAGAACATGACCCTTGGTTCGATTTCTGATTGTTTATTGTTCCATTTAACAAAATAACCAGTGAGTCAAATTTCCTCATTCTTACAAAAAAAAATTAAATAAATAATAATAATAATAAAAATAGGCCTTTTGAGCAAAATCTGACTGAAGGGATTTATCCTGAAGGTAGGGACTGATTCTGAGGTAGTATTGATTAGGGCCAGAGTAGTACTTTTATAAGGTCTAGATGGGACGATTGGAGGAAGCTGAGGTCACTCCCATCGTGATCCAGACCTCCCTCTTTCAGATCCGCCGGCCTGTGCTGGTCTGCACGATTGCCACCTACCTCGCCTGCCTCCACAGACTGTAAGGTGTGCGCGGCACAGGATTTTCGGCATTTCTGAAAACAGAGACCCTAATGACAAATTAAGAGTCTATTATGCACTTCCACCACAGCATTTTTTTTTACATGTATGACAATTAAGAAATATGAACAAAAACGTTGCCCACATACGCTTACTGTATGGATTGTGATGAACTTCCCCCCCGCCTTTCCAATATTTCCTAAGTAGGAAATTTTGTCTGCGGAAGATCCACTGTCGAAGAAGGCTTCATCATCATCGTTTTCATCATCATCATCATCATCATCATCATCATGGAGTGCGAAGATGAGCCGAGAAGGCGACAAAGAGGAGGTCTCACTTGGGTGACCCTCAGCGTGCCAAGCGTCAATCACACAGCAGACAGGAAATGAAATGGCGGCGAAAAACGATGAGAGACAACAGAACAAAAGATTGTGTCAGCCATGAAAGGCGACGCAATCCTTTGTTCTCTTCCTTATTCATAATCGTGTGTGTGTGTGTGCGTGTGCGTGTGTGTGTGTGTGTGTGTGTGTGTGTGTGTGTGTGTGTGTGTGTGTGTGTGT